GCCGTTGTCGGGGTGGATGGAGATGGGCTCTGAGCCGTTCATGGGCTTGGGGAAGGTGATGTTCGCGTACTGGGGCTGGTGCGGGATCAGGAGCAGTGGTGCCGCTGCCTGGCTCGGTACCGCCCCCGGTCCAGAGAGGAGCAGGCTGGCGTGGGCAGGCTGAGGATGCTGCTGAGGATGCTGCTGCCTCCTCGCTTCAGTCTGGGTGAATCTAGCCATTCTGCGCGCGGCGGAGAGCGCGATAATAATAACAACATACACACGCACGCACGCACGCACGCACAAGCCGGGAGAGAGTACGCGCTCCGCTGGAAACGCGACGTTCACTTTCTATTCGACACATGTCACGCTCGCGCCCCCCGCACCTGACGGGAGGAGGCGATGAAAGCCGAGCGCGGCTACGACTCACATGCGTGGACCCGTAGCGCCACCTGCCGACCAATAGTCAACTGCGCTCTCATGAAATCCAAAATGAGCCAATATTTGGCATGACATTTCAAAATGTCTCACTTTCAACATTTGATATGTTATCTATATTCTATTGTGAATAAAATATAAGTTTATGAGATTTGTAAATTATTCCATTCCTTTTTTACTCACAATTTGTACAGTGTCCCAACTTTTTTGGAATTGGGTTTGTATTTTCTTGTAAAATGTACTTCAGTAATGATTGTTGTAGTTGCAACTTTAATTTTCCATCTTATTTTTTTTCTACATTGTACTTGTACGTGTATGACTTTCCAAGACACCGAACAAAACAGGCCTGTTTCCCAGAGAGAGAGAAAAAATGACTACAGTAGCTTTTAAAAAAAAAATGTATTGCATTGCTAAGAACATACACAATCAATGCCAGGGGTACATACAATTGAGAGTACAAATGCAGGTTACAAAATCAGGAAAATATCGTACAAATGACACAATGAGACCGTTTTAAGGGCTTTGGGGTTGCTGGATGTAAGGGAGTGTCCCGATAGGATTTAAGTTCCTTATGAAAAATAAAAAAGTAAGGCTTAGCACCCTGAAATTTACATTTATGTAAGAAAATTTTCTCTTGAAAAATAAACAAATTTATCAAGAAATATTGGTCCTTTCCATCTTTATCAAAATTGTGCTGTGACTACAGTAGCTTTTTTATTATTTTTTTTTATTGCAAGTATAAACACTTAACTTCAACCATTAATGTAACATTGGATGACATTATGAATACAGAAATTATATAGGAAGACAAAGAAAAAACAAAATAAAATAAAAAATAAATAATAATACATAGATAAAACAAAAAATACAGAGGTAGTAAATCAAAATTATGTATCATTCAGCAGATCATTATACAATTTCACAAATTTGACACTTTTTTTGGTATTAATATTTTTTAATGTTATAATTAAGTAGTTAAAGTCACAAAGAAAATTATATAATTTTGGAGATGTTGAAGAAAATTTACATTTATGAATATAATATTTTCCCAATAAAATAAATACATTTCCTATATATTCTATATTATGTTTACAATGTGAAAAATAACAAAATATATCACACATAGTAACATCAATGTCTACATTAGATTTTGAAGAAAATAATTTTGACACGTCAGACCAAAATTCCTTAACAAGGGGGCATTTGAAAAAAAAGATGATCAATAGACTGCTGAAATTACAGAAATTACAATTCAGATGAGGATTACCAAATTTGGATGTAATCTCATTAGTGGCAGGGGCGTAGATTACGCGGGGGACGCGGGGGACGTGTCCCCCCCTACTTTTAATATGACGTAAATTCGTCCCCTGCACTTTTTCGGGCAAGTGTGTTCGTATAGAGGTTTTCAAGAGCCGGTGTGATATTCAAATAGAAAGCAGTTATTTTAAATAGTAAAAATATTTCACAACATTACTGCTTTTGCTGTACCTTGAATCAAATAAATGCAGGCTTGGTGAACAGAAGAGACTTCTTTATAAAACATTAAAAATCTTACTGTTCAAAAACTGTTGACTGGTAGGTTATATCTATTACAGAAATGTTATATTGTAATGTTTTATATATAAAACATTTCTGTCCCCCTCACTTCTGAAATGATGGCTACGCCCCTGATTAGTGGGGTATATATTATGCAAAATCTTTAAATGTAATTATTTTACTTGAAATGTGACATTTTTTGTTTATTTGATAACCTTGAAACCTCTGTGAATAATATACCTATTAAAGATAATGTGAAATATCTCGGCATCCATATTTCCAAGAAAATCTCTCTTAGGCAAGAAATGAACTTTACTCCTAAAATTAAAAAAAACAAACTAATATTTAACAATTGGCTTCAAAGAGATCTATCCTTTCTTGGTAGAGTTCTTTTAATAAAAGCAGAAGGTCTGTCTTATTTTATATACCCATCTTTTTCATTATTTGTTCACGACAATACATGTAAACAAATTAATAGTTTCTTGTTTAACTTTTTTTGGAAAAACAAACATCAACATTTGAAGAAACAAGTTCTTTGTGGTAAGAAAGCTGATGGAGGTTTTGAGATGCTTGATTTTTTTGACATTAATTATAATTTCAAAGTAAATTGGCTTAAGAATTGTGTCAATTCACCAGATTATTTTTGGTACTTTATCCTATACAATATCTATAAAAACGTGGGAGGTCTTACATTTTTGTTAACTTGTAACTTTTCCCCTTCTAAACTCCCCATTAAACTTTCTAAATTCCATGAACAGGCACTTTTGGCATGGAAACTTTGTTTTGTTCACAATTTCTCCCCGCATAAAGTGAAGCTATGGAACAACGAAAGTATTTTAGTAAAGAACAAGTCGATTTTTCTTAAGAACTGGCATGAAAAAGGTATGAATTATCTTTGTGATATACTAGATCCTCAAGGGAATGTTTACTCTTACGGTGATTTCATGTTTAAATACAGTTTCCCTGTGGTTCATAAGGAATTTCTTACAATTGTTAAAGCTATACCTAATGGTCTTGTTCACTTAATGAAATGTCATCTATCATTTGAAGAGATTGTACAAAGGGAACAGATTTTTTTGGTTGATGACAAGTGCATTTATGACCCAAAATGTAATAATAAAATTATAAGAAATGTGTTTCAGTCAAGGAAAAGAATAACTCCGAGGGGAATTTTTTTTTTGGAATTCTTTAATAGATAAGATTAATTGGAAAAAAAGCATGGCTCTTACCTTATAAATTCTGTGTCCCCAACAAAGTGACTACAGTAGCTTTTTTTTTTTTTAATTTTAAATAAAAGGGAACAGATTTTTTTGGTTGATGACAAGTGCATTTATGACCCAAAATGTAATAATAAAATTATAAGAAATGTGTTTCAGTCAAGGAAAAGAATAACTCCGAGGGGAATTTTTTTTTTGGAATTCTTTAATAGATAAGATTAATTGGAAAAAAAGCATGGCTCTTACCTTATAAATTCTGTGTCCCCAACAAAGTGACTACAGTAGCTTTTTTTTTTTTTAATTTTAAATAATTTTTTATTATGCTTTAAACGACATACAAAACAATACAAAGCCAGGGTAACAAAGGATAAAAGAAAAGGGAAAAAAAAAATTCAGAGACATGCATGACCTTTACATTACTTCAAAGATTTTGAAGACGGAACACAAACTGACCGTTTTAATTGCCTTTCTATTAGTATTATGTTGAATAGTACACAAGTAATTTTCCAACTCTTTCAAAAACACTGTAAAACAGGGTTTTTTGTTAGAAAATTTACACTTATGAATGTGAAACTTAACCAACAAAATAAAATAGACTTGTTATTTTTAGTCTGTGAAAAACATATTTTACCACATATTGTATCAGTTAGATTGACTACGGGCATATCAACCAATATCACAGCTTTAAATAAGGAAACTATAGCAGAATTAATTGCAGAGAAAACAAGAGAGAATTCCTTGGGAGTCACAGGAAAATTAAAGTGTACAAGAAACTCATCATATGTCATAAGATACCCTTGAGTGTTAAACAAATGACACACTAAGACAATACCCTTATCAAACCAGCTTTTCAAAAAAATACTTTTATGTTTAAACAAAATACACCGATTGTTCCAAATAAAATAACACTGTAGAGAAAAGTTGTGCTTGTAGATCAGTTTACAAGCCAACAAAGCCTGAGCATGAAAGGTAGATAGCTTCACTGGCAATTTCTCAATCTTATAATCACACATTAGTAAAAAAGAAAGACCCCCGAGTTGGTAAAAAATAAAATTAGGAATGAAATTCCACAAAAAAGGTTTATTCAAACAAAATTTTAACCAATTAATTTTGAGAGTATTATTTAAGGCAGAGAAATCCAAAAAGTCAAGTCCACCGTTTTTAAGGGGATTTATGACAACAGACTTATGAATGTAGTGCACAGGGTTCTTCCATAAAAAAATAAAATAAAATCTGATCGATAGACTTAACAGTTTTATTGTCTGAATATATGGTTGAAGCAATATAAGTTAATCTAGAAATTCCTTCTGCTTTTGACAGAAGAACTCTACCTCTGAGGGACAAGTCCCTTAATAACCAAAGATTAAATTTTCTTTTTATCTTTTCAAAAGCAGGGTTAAAATTCAGGGAAACTCTATCTTGTTCACTTTTCGAAATGACAACACCTAAGTAATTAACAGCTTATTTAACTGGAATACCATCCACAGATAAAAGGGAGGCATTTTTTAAGACTAATATTTCAAATTTTTTATATTAAGGTACAAACCTGAAGCATTAGAAAACAACTGTATATTTTTAATTGCCTGATGATTGATAATTAACTAATTAAAATACTTCTACCAGCAATATGAATTCCTTCTAGCTTACTATCCTTAAGTGACTACAGTAGCTGATCTAATCCAGGATGTGCACAGCAGAACTCCACGAAGTACACACATCCTTGACGTTACACGGAGGTGAAGCAACACACAAAACCGATTGTACGGAAGACCAGAAACTCTTGATTTGACTGACTAACTTGAACTTGTCTTTTTAGCCAGAAAGTGAGTCATGTCGGTGAATTACGCCGCAGGACTTTCTCCATATACGAATAAAGGCATCTGCGGCCTTCCGGAGGTAATGTTTACATTTGTTGCAGTTAGCCGGCTAGCTAGAATTAGCTTCATTTAGTGCATATTAGCATCAAATTGCTTTACGAAATGCAGTTATTCTGTATTCAAATCTATTCCAGTCTCTGTAGACTTACGTGTGTAAAGAATATGACGGATGTACGCTTCATTTCGCTACGAAATCTGAACAAAAACATTAGGCAGTTACTGAATTTTTATGCTAATAATAAAAACATGAGGTCTTTGTTATTTGGTTTTACCACAGTTTAGGGGGAAACGATATTAATATGAACAATAAAACAATTGTTTTTTTTTAAATAAGAATCACATTTTTTCCGCCAGGTAATAGTTCACTAGCTCAACTGTAAGACAGTTTATGGTTGCCAAGCAACGCACCGCGTTAATTCTAACTCAAGTGAGCTGTTATCGAATAATAACAACAACAACAAAAATAATAATATAAGGTTACTTACAGGTATACTTATATCGGCAGCTCATCAGATTTTATATATATATATATATATATATATATATATATATATATATATATATATATATATATATATATATGTGTGTGTGTG